GGAAATCCTCTTTCATTTTAAAGTCTCTAACCACTTTTATATTTTCACAAGGAAAGACTAAAAAAAATATTGAAATCTAGGAATTCCAAGAACCTGCTACTGGAACTGTTACAATGTTGTTATATCAAAATTCAATTACATAAAGAAGAAGGCTGAATCTCCGTATATATATATATATATATACACTTTAAAGCCTGTGGTTCTGGGGGCAGGAACAGGAAAAATGGCTGCTGTGAGGTGGGATGGGAAAATCTGAACATTTCCACCCAGATGGCAGCCATCCAGGCTTTACTTCAATCCTTCCTAAAACCTCACAGCAAATGGGTTTTGAGACAGATTGGAGAAAAGCTGGGGAATCCATGGGAGGTGCACAAATGCGGGGGGGGGGGGACCCACTCCCCACTAGTACCTGGGGCAAATAACCCATCTGGAAACAGCCTACAAGTTCAGAACAGTATATCTGGGCCACAAACGGCTCATGGCAAGCTGCAGCATGCTAACAGCATTGCAAGAAACCCAACTCGGCCTCTCTTGAGGTGTCCACCGCTGTTGTTCAGTCGCACAGTCGAGTCCGACTCTTCACGACCCCATGGACCAGCTTCCGCCAGGCCTTCGGGAGCTGTACCTGTGCACAATTTGGAATTCCCCTTGTGTATGTTGTTGTTGTTTGGGGGGGTAACAGGCCATGTAATGATTATTAGACACCTATAAATACTCCGCCCTTATCTTAACAAGTGAAATCACTCTGTACATACCCTGCAATTACAGTGCAAAACATTTTAAACTTCTACTGGCTCTCCATCAACTGGAAATAAGGAAGAGCATCAATATGACCATGGCTGAGTTTTGAGATCCTTAAAGAGGAGGGGTCGAACGTGGGCCTAAGGCATACATTTCTTCTCTGCTTTCTCGAGGACAGAGCCTCAACGTGGATTATAAAAGTCTTAATACTAGATAATAGATGCCCCTTCCCTTCTTCCACAGATCTAGTGCGTTTTAGTCTAGGGGACAAACCACAGCAGCATTCCCACAATTCTGCGGCGTGGCCCTTTACACCGCCCCCCGGGGGCATGTATGCATGCTCCGCCTGAAGCCTTTGCGAGAAAAGCCGATTACAAACGAAACAGCTGCAATGCTATGTGGCACCCAATTCAGTCGGGCTTAACTGTCGGAACCAACCAACGTACGCAGCAGGGGTTGCCTCGTTCACGTAGGCGCTTCCTGGGGAGCCAAGCCCCCCCCCCCCGGAGTCTAAAGGCTCTGATCCCCACACGGACGTATCCATAGCAGTGTGCCTAACCCGTGTGTGCGTGTACATTAAGAATCGGAATCCCCCCCACCCCACCCCCCCAACACACTTCAACCCGTGAAGAAAATAACCCTAACCCGACAGGAAGAAAGAGGGGGG